AGGATTTGCAGACATCTATACGCAAGACTATAGCGGATATTTTAAAGACATTAAAGATTATATATATCTAAACGGTGAAAATACCTTCCCCAAGATATATCACCTATCAATATTTTTAGCTTTGTTACACTCAAGAATGAAATTCTTGATTTTCTAGGATGGCCCTACTACATCTTAGAAAAACTGACTATTTTATACGCAATGTTTAACTTTATTGGATTTCTTTTTTCACTCTTAAAAGGAATCTATAACACATGTGCTATACACACACAAGTCAATAGACAAGCAAGTGTAGCACGCATACTATTTGCAGGATTTTTTGGAATTTTTTCTACATCAATAAACAAAATTCTTTTAGATGCACAAATAAAAGAATACAACACAAAAATAGCAACAAGACAGAACACATACGACGAAGAACATAACAATGTAGACACAACGCCAACCGCACCACAGTTACCACCCCTACCACATAACCATCCATTATCCCTAGTCCCACGTAATTTTCGAAACTTAGCAATAACACATAATCCAAATTTTAGACCAACCATATCACAAAGTCCCATCCAACATATAATGACACGCCACTCACAAGACGAAAATACTTATGAAAAAATTATAGAACAACCCCATACCACCGCTTTTCAGTCTCAAAATAATAATTTTTTTAGCCCACGATGAGCCGACAACTTGGATCCCTACACCGTTCAAATTCCCACCCAACCAACCTCACTACTCCAATTACAATAATACCACTTTTTGCTTTCCCGCCACCCGATTTCCCAACCAGTAATGTAACATCAGGCATGAATTCCGATACTAATTCACACATCTCAGTTTTATATTGCACATCACAACTCAATAACCCGAATATTGAAACCCCCTATGAATTTGCCGACTCTGAACCATCTCCATCCAATAATTTTCACACCAACCCCTCAATTTTTTCCCACCCCCCTTTTCAACCAATGCTACCAAATAACCCCGTCCCCACCAATTCTACACCCTCTTATGCTTCCCAAGTCACTCCAACCTATTCTTCACATCATTCAGACCGATCATCCAATTCTCCAGATACCCCCCAAATCTCCCCAGAACTAGATAATTTTATTACATTACAATAACAACCCTACCACCTTGATACCCCCACCATAAACCATATTTCATCCACAATAGATTCATCCAACCCTCCTACCCCTACACCCTCTTCAATTTATACCGAATCATTAGCACCATCATCCACATCTACTGAATCTTCACTCAGCACTAATAGAGCTTACCGCACTTTTAAAAGAAAGTTCCCCAACCATCCTTTCGCAGCAAAACCAGGAACAGCCCGTGAATATATAAATCACCCAAATCACACTAATACAAAAGAATTTTTAGCTATCACCTTACCCTCATTTCCACAATACACCTTAAACACCCCTCACGACACTAACGAAATACGTAACTTTGTAGACGAACACGTTTTAATGCCTACCCTTCCTTGGACCTCATATTATCATTTTACTAATCCCCTTTGCTTACCTTTATCTAACACTCCAATCGATATAGAACGAAATAAGGACATGCTATATTGACTCACTACACCACTAACACCTAGACAATTTACTTACATCGGATATGAAAAATCACTAAAAACATACACTGCACCCCGAGCTAACGAATATACGCTAGAATATTACGATCATAACATCATCAGAACTAACCAAGATCAATTCTTAGACGACGATCGCTTCGCTAACCCACAAATCACAGAAAAATTTTTCATTAAAACACCATATGTATTTACACTCAATATCTTTGACCGCAAATTTGACCACATCATTTCAGAAGCACTAACAGACACACAAGCTTACGAAAGTTTTAAAGAACGCTTCCAAATATTTTCACTAACCTTTCATTTCCTTGCACCACATGAAAGAGATTTGCACTGCTCACACGATATTATGTTGCGCACTAAACAAACTCACACATATACATATTATCGTTTTATCCAAAATCACTTCGACCTACACACCCCCTCCAGACAACCACACCACCGTTTTCAATTCATCAATTCCAAATACACCTCACCATTCTTTCTTAACTTCACATATTGCATTAAAGATACTAACCTTCATGGTATTCTTCGAAATTATGATCCCATAACCCAAATGTATATTTTTTGTCCCATCACCAAGACCTTCAACGCAGAAGAATCCCGACCCTTTCTCCTCCCACACGAATTTGTTCAACCTATAGAAATCCCCATTTTAGAATTCATCCACAACACTAAATTCAATCACAAATTATATAATCTAATCCAAAACACACCTTATGAGTTTGCAGTTGGCACTGAAGAACTAACCACCATTAAAGCACTTCAATTGCTTTGGCCACTGCTTCAAACTAAAAATATCATCCGCATCCTAGCTAAATTACTAACAACTTCAGATCTCATCCACGACATCTTCCCCCACGGTTTCTTCCCCGACGACTAACAGGTAAGTATGAACTATACATATTATTAACTAGTTATTAAAATTAGAAACTAACCATTCTTTATTCATGTCTTCTTTAGAATTTTAGCCTTCATCCAACGATCATCTAAAAAATTCACAAAAGAGAATAAAAAATCGAAAACTTCTTCAAACTGTTTAAAACTCTATTAATTTTTTGCACCAAACAATTAAATAAATATAATACCAATGCAGTAATTTAATTTATAAATTTTTTCCCCACAAGCAGTAAATCTAATAATGATGAAAATTTGTAACTTAATTTTCCCCAACAACTAGCAGTAAAATTGAAATTCTATGTAGTAAATTAATAAGAAGCAAATGCAGTACTAACCTTTTGATATTTTCATTCACTCGCACAAGAATTCTATCCAAATTCGCACAGCTCGCCCACGAAGAATTGTTTAAAAAATGAATTTCAGTTTCAAGCTTTCACACTCAACAACTCTAACACACGATAACAAGTTTCAAACTTTCCTTTAACCCGGTTGGAAAGGAATTATATACTAAACAAAACTAACCAATGCAGCTTACTAAACACCACAACACATAGCATAACAGCATGACTAAGAAAAGGAAACCAACGGTACCCAAACCGGATTAACCCAGTTTAAAACTGGATAATTTATTCTTTTGAAGACTATTATAAAGTCTAAGAAAGAAATAATAAAACACAAAAAGTCGAAAGACAAACCCATACCACAAACAATTTGATTTTTGAAAAAAGGACACAACCAACAAAACATAAGAAAAACCACAACAAACCCAACATAAAACGTTGTCACATAACAGGACCTCTCACAAAAACCGCATGCTATCATACTCCCACTCCTGGCCTAACCCACCAGAAGAGGACGTCCTGAGCATGCTCTATAGCCGGCCTAACCCACCGCGCTACATCCACGCTTTGTGACACACACTCCTATTTTTAATAAGAGCTACTCAAGGGTGAGTAACTCTTCAAAATAACTGAACTAAAACAAAAAGCTTTTGTGAAAACAACTAACCAAAATCATAATTAAAAAACATTAAACTAATAAAAGTTTTATAAAATGTAAATTATATTATGCAATATATAGATCAGCATACAACACCAAAAGACGAACATCCAAAGACAAAATGAACCCACTACACTCGAAAAAGAATGGCCAACCACGATCAATATGCCGCCCACAATCACAACTCAAAGGATTTAGAGTACGACTTGACTTCGCAGAAAAGGACTTCATTGAACTAGACCAATGACCACCTCGATGTTCAAGTATACGTACAGATCCGAGTAACCAGGCATCCCCTCCACACACAATCTCCACGCCATTCCCAGACAGGGTCAGACACAAAGAAGTTCTCATCAATGAAACAGAAAAACCTGACATAGCCAACCATTCTGAAATCAGATTTGAGTTTGTTGCGAAAACCCAGTCGTTGTCTTGAGAAGACACAACGATTGAATCTGGGACTTCTCTAATAAGAAAACCCAGAAGAAATAAGATGTTCGCCAAATACCAACGTCCATCATCCATCCTTTGAATTGCAGAAAGACTATTCTAAAAAACTCTGTAAAACCCGGATGGGTGGAACCTGATCTAAACTACATTTTATGATTGGATAAATTAGATATTTTACCACTGTAAAGTATTTAATATTAACCAATCATGATCCATCTAACTAACAACCCACTTATTTGTAAGTGCTGAAATTACTTGTAATTTCAGCACCAGAGAGATTTAAATTTAACTTAGAAATTAGTTGAACTCTCCCGAGTACTTCAGCAGCCGCAATAAACCAGTATACCCTAGATCTATTGAGCCTAGCAGAGACTAGTTAAACAACCTGAGACTAGATAGTATGAGAGTAAGATTAGGATCGGTATTAGACTAAGAAGTTGCACGAATCTACCCGGCCGAAAATAAGATAGTGTGACGAGCAGACGGTGTACCCTATCCGAAATTACTCTATGAGTTATACACTCCGATCTTAACTCAGTATAACTGTTAGTCAATCAATTTTATTTTCGCATTGAAAGAATTTTCGTTTGCAGATTTTTGCCGATTTTGTTTTCGGTCAACGGATATGAAAGATATTAATTGATCTCAGTTGGTTTATTTGGTTGGCTAATCTCAGGAACAATAAACTAGGGAAAATCAAAGTGGGACTTACGGAGCTCTCAAATGTAAGCACGTCTTCGGCATTTGAAGTTGACCGAAATACTTCATTGACGGAATTATATAGTTTCTGGAACAATATTGAATGTCCTATTCATTCAAATTTTCACATGCAGCCGCACCCCCATACTTATCTGAAAAGCATGAAAGTATAATGCAAGTATAATTATATTCAACAGTTTTAGTGTTTTTTCTCCGATATCGTGACTGTTCTAACTTAACGGTTAGCTTTACTAATTGTAGAAATTGAAAGCTTTTCGGAGCTAAAGTTAGACCAAAGTCGTGGACCTTATTGACTATATCATTCATTGTTTTTCTGTTTGTGTTAAAGGACAAGGGTGCTGCTTCGATCTTTGAGGGGCTGCGGGAGCAGGGACAAACTGGAGTGGGGCTGACTTCTCTCATCTTGTGGAACAACAACCTCTCCCCCAATTGCCACTACGTCATACATCCACTGGTGAGAAGGCTATTTCTGATGTTGATCCGACTTGTTGCGAGAGCAAGTGACTTGTAATCGGGAACTAGACTTTTTTTGCCGTAAACAACTTACAGGTCTCAGGTTCGATTACGGGCCGGACATTTTTTTCTTTTTCACTGTGTATGTATATATACCTTGCTTTGTTTTTGTAGCCACGTCGTTTTTCAGGTCCTTTCCATTTAGTGTAGAGGTCAAGCATGCGACTTAAGGTCTGAGGTTTGATCCCCGGACCGACCGTTTTTTTAAAGATCTGTAACAAAAATACCTTGTTTATTATGAAACCTCAGCGTCAGCCGGGCAAACTCTCCCATGGCCCGGAGGTAAAGCACGTACCTTCGGAAAATCAGGTCTTTGGTGCGAGTCTTGTCCGGACCTTGTTTTTTCTATGTGTGGCAATTAAATTGTTTTGGATAGCTTGAATTGTGGGAGCATGGATTTTTGTCCTCAACGAATCTCTTTTTTAAAGTAATATTAACTATAATCGGAAGTCATTCTGTAGTCCGGCAGTACCATTTTTGATTTTGTCTAAACTTTTTCTTGTTTTTTTTTTGCTTAATTCGGCTTATGCTATATCGACTTATCGTTACTTCATTTTGCGTCGTTTAAAGTGGAAAAATGGGTTCTTGTCTATTTTGTCTGGCCTTTGTTTTCGGATCAACTGGTCATCATTTGTTTTCGGCTTAACTCGGGTTGTCTTAGTTGCCTTTCGGTAATTGATTTTCAATGTTATTTATGTAGATGTATGTAATTTTGCAGATTTGAGTTATAAAAATGATTTTTTCGTGTTAGTTACTTCCATCTCATTTTCTGTCTGCTGATTAACGTTGCTCTGTTTGTGTTGTGTCGCAATTGTTGCGAAGCTCCGCTTCGTCTCTATGCAACATTTGGTATTTTATTTAGTGCGGAAAAACAAACGAAAACTTCTTAACTTAATTTTATCTATTGCTCTGTCGTGTCTTCTAAATAACATATGCGAGAATTTTATGAAAAGTCTGAACATTCAGGGCTTTGCCCTGACACAAGAAGTCTTGTACATTCTAAATGGAAGAAATCCAGGATTGGCAGATTAAAACAGTAAGTGTTTTTTTTTTCGTTGTTAATGAACAAAGAGAATTTTCATTTATTTAGGTCGTGAGGTTCTTTAGTCGCGAGGTTCTTTATTCTCATTTTTTTCGGTTGTATGATTTTTCAGTTCAAAGTCAATTTCTAAATCAAAGGGAAAGTGTGCACTCTCAAAACACAAAGAAAAAGCCCGGCTTGTAGTTTGATAATTGGGTATCGATATTGAGGGTTGCCTCCGGTATAGAAATTTTATCAATTGATCCAATTTTTGAGTGTCGGCGAATATACTTCGTGTTTCCAGGAAAAATTTTAATCATTTGCACACGCAAAATTTAATTTTTGCGATTTTACTTTTAATATCTTAAGTTCAGTTCAAATTCATTTGATAATCGAAAGGCAAATTACGCTCTACAATTACGAAAGCGGAAATACCTTGAAAACTTCAACGACTTCTAGCTTCCAATGTGGGTTTTAATTTCTTAGATTTTCTTCTTTTGTTAAAATATTACCAGCTGTCTGTTTGCTAGAATTCAAATTTTTAAATTTGAGGAGATTTAATTTGTTATGTTTTTTTTCTGAACTCTGAAGTTGCAATCAATTTTACGTTAGGTGTGTATTATTACATTTTTAGGCCTTTTATAAGGTTATTTACACTAGCAAGCAACGTAGTGTATTAATGTCAACCTTTTTTTTCTAACCTAAATTTCAAATAAAAGTGTTCATCAAAAGTGATCGCTTATTTGGTGGCACTTTTGCGTTAATTACGATCTGTAGCAATGGAAGTTTCATCGCATCTGTTCTCTGCTTTTTTGTGGCTGGTGTTTGTGATTATTAAGAGTGCGTGGCTGAGTGGTTAGTGCGTGAGACTCATAGTCTCTAGTGCGCAAAAAGTTGCAGATCAAATCCGAGACGTAGCCGAATTTTTACTTATTCGAAGCTTAATTCTCTTTTTTTCCTTGCATTTTATAGAGCTGCTTTTATCCGTGTTGTCGCTTGTGTTTGCAAAGCGAAGCCTCGCCTCTGTGTTCAAATTTGCGCCAAGACTCAAGGGAGTAGATTCATTAATTGGACTGGACTATTTTAAATGTCGCGGAAAAACCGGATAATAACTTCTAACTGCCAAATTTTGTGAACTATAATTTTTTTAAAAAAATTTATGTAACGGATATTTCATTTGGGACAGTTAAAACCGATCCTTTCAGATGGATAGGCTCTCTCGTTTCTGACTTTAGCAATAACCGGGTTGACAAGAAGATGATTTATTTTTTTTAGGAAGAAGTTAACTATTGCTCACGCTGTGTAAAAATCATTCGGTAAAATATAAACAAATTTTGCTATCTCATAAAAAGTAAAAGCGCCACGAAATTTGAATAGTTTTTTTTGCTCTTAAAATGATATCAAATTCCAATTTTGCGAGTAGACTGAAATTAGCCTATTTTTCAATTTTACCTAAATTAGTTTTTATCAGAAAGGTCTCAATGATTAAAGAGTCTTTAAACTCAACGATTTTTTGATTGATGCGAGTCAACCATAAAAGAACGAAGTGATTGTCATTTATAAAGGTCGTGATGATTTTTTTCGTTTGCTTTTGCTTTTTTTGAATTCAGTTTATTGCTTTTTCAAAAAGAAATTCAAATTCCGGTTTCGTGTGTGTAAAAGTCCCGTTTATGAGATTTAACGTGTTGTTTTGTTTCTGAAACTCAAACCTAATTTTTGTTTCAGTTTTACGTTAGCTGTGTTTTGTTAGGATTTTATGTGGTTTTTAAGTTGTTTAAATATGCGCCAAGACCCAAGACTTTGCTTTCTCAAAGATCTAATTATTAGTCAAATTTTTAAGTCGAGGCAAAATCGGAAAATAAATTCAAGCTGCCAATTTTTGTGAGGTTTAGAAATATTTATAATTATGTAACGAATAATTTGTTTTGGTCAGTTAAAACCAATCCTTTCTTTTCAGATGGATATTTTTTGTCTTTTCTGAAATTCGCAATAAGTTGGTTGACAAGAAGTTAAACTATTTCTTCTGGAATAAATTAACATTTGTTCCGGCCTATTTAAAAAATCTATCAGTAATATGAAAAAAAAATTTTGCTTTCTCATAAAAATTAAAAATGCCTCTTTTTTTGCTCTAAAATTGAATATAAGTTCAGCTTTTGCGAGCGGAATAAAATTAAACTATTTTTCAATTTTAACCTGAATTACTTATATAAGAAAGTTGTCAATGATTAAAGTCTTCAACTCGAACAGTTTTTGTTTGATGTAGTTTAACTATTTCGAGATGATAGTTTTCCGTTTGATTTTGCTTTCTTTTTAAATTGAGTTTTTTGCATTCTCAAAACTTTGTAAAGTCTCGGAAAACTTCGTTTTTCATAAATAGATTTTTTATGAATTCCCAGCTGAATATAAAAAATAAAACTATTGATCCAGGTTTCTCTAAATAATAGTTTTTGAAGAAAAAAGTGCCCATCATAAAACATTTTTAAAGTTCAAAGAGCCGTAACTTGATATATTTTTTCTTTGAAATTTGAAAAAAAAATGAATATGGTATCAACTTTTTTCTACTTCCTTACTCGTTTGACACGTTTCCAACCATCTGTTTCCAATATTTGCGGTTTATCAATAGCAAGAAGAATACTATATATGTATCCTTACTATGTTTGCGAGTTTGTAGAAGTAATATTGGAGTTATATACCGAACACCATTATTAGGAGATTTATTGTATGAAAAATTGCAGTGTCAAAATTTGGGAACATCAATAACAAGCTACAATAATAGCTGTTGAAATTGAACAGATAAGAATGGCTGGGCTAAAACAGATTTGACCAGATTTAATAGCAGTTATTGGACCGTTAAATTTGAGATGGTTTTTCTACATGGTTTTCTAGGAGACATGATTTAATGTAGCAAAATTTAAAGTAGGTTAATACTTATCACAGAAAAATTAGCGTGTTCATTGGTGTTGAAACATTCAAAGAATTTTCACGCGGGTCTCGGAAAACAAGCCGACGGGACTTCAAGTCGAAATTTAAACTTCATAAGCACCTCATAAAACTATTTTTCATCTGTAAAAGGGAATTTTCTAAAATTTAGGAAAGTTTAGTCCATATTTAGCGTTATTCATGACAATGCACCCCTTAGGAATGGCATTGGTTCAACCGTAGAATCTCCTCCCTAAGTGACCTACCGTAGAATGCCCTCTCCAAGCATGCATTATTTCTGAAAATTAATTCTGTATAAAATATACATTTCAAACAGAAAAGCAAATAAAATTGGTTTTTACATTTTTTATGCGGAACTGTACGCTTGATCCATGGCATCCATAATTTACATCAGCCGGATTTTGAAATGAATAAAATATAAACCTGAAAAGCCCCGTCAAGAATGTTTTAATTTTTAACTTTCCTAAACATCAATTAGAGGCTTACATTTTGTGATAAAGCTTAAAACTGGTAAATAAAGATAATAAAATTGAGAAATTCTTCGAGCCAGTCTTCAAATTAATCATTTTTCATGACTTTTTGAGGAAAATTTTGGCTTGAGGTCTCTATTTTAATATTCGACTGGAAGTTCCGTCGGCTTGATGACCGGCACCCTTTTCAGGTATCTACTAAGCGTAAGTTATGAGTGTGTGCAGATTGTGAAATATGATGTATTGACAGGCAGTGCATCGGTCGCTGGAGACTCTGAACATGGGCTACAATGACCTGAGGAATGAGGGCGTGGCTCTGCTGAAGGACGGGCTGATGAGGAACAAGAGCATTGCCAGACTCGGACTCAGCTCCACCAGAATAGACTCCATTGGTTAGCCTGTTTTTTGAAAAAAGCATTTTTTATTAGCCCCCGGTCCTGCTCAGTGCAGTACCAACCCAACCGTGCGGAGAAGGGGGGTTGAATTCGGTTTAACTTCATCCATTTTGCCGCCCACTATGAGGCGGATGATTCTGGGAGCCCTCCACCCGTGACCGAAGTGGGGTTCGAAGACACGCATGAAAAAAATAAATCTTACTAATTTTCCTCGTTCTGAATGCAATAAAATATCAATTTTTGCCAAATCTGCTTCTAATACTAATGCAAAAGTATTAGAAGCAAAACTGGAATATGATTTTGATAAATTTCATTTTTTTTTGCATTCTGAAGGAAAATTGCAACATCTTATACAATCTTGTATTATTGGCATTAAAAGTTCTGACCACAGTTATTTTTAAAAGTGATGAACGTAGTGAGTACTCGTTTATAGGTCTTGCTGATTTTTTTGTTTTTTTTTCAGGAATTTGTTCACGCTCAATTTTGATTTTTCGCGGTTTGACTTGTGATTTCTTTTTAAGTTCAGTGAATTTCTATTGTTAAAAGGTATGCAAACTCCTATATCGAACAGCAAAATTGTAAAGGTCACGAAAAACGTGATCGACTTCTGATTTCGAAAATGGAAAATAATTATCAGATTTTCCTGGGAAATAAAAGTTTTACCTATTGATCCAGTGGTCTCAAATTGGGTTAGTTTAACATAAAAGTATCCATCATAAATTGTTCTACAAATTCAAAGAGCTCTTAGGCCATCTATTTTTTCTTCAGTTTCCTTGCGTTCATTACTCTTTTCCAACCTGCAACTGTCAGTTGGTTAAGTTTTCAATTACTACCACTAATAGCTTTATGAGCCTGTAAATATAGCATCGTAGTTTGCTCATTGATAAACAGGTAGAGGATGTTTTATGTCAAAGTAAACAATGATATATGTTAAGGTAAATTTCAATTAAGTACCGTGCATATGTCATGAGGTATGTCATTTGAGTCTGCCAAGTGGGCAAAAAATGCAGCAGAGTTTTGATGCTTTCAAGAGAAGCTTTGTCTTTTTACCAAAAAAATCGAGGAAGATGACAAATAGGTTTTTAAGTACGGCATCATTTTTTTCAAAGCATTTTTCGCCAAATACTTGAATTGATTTTCTTTTTGGAGATATCATTAGCTTGCATTACTCTCGTAAAAAAATGCTCATTTTCATAAAAATAGATTTTGAAAGAAGTCTGCAAAATATTTCATACTGGTTGCTAAAAGGGGTTGAAAGGAACTATGGCATAGGTGTATTTTTTCCTACGAGTTTTGACTGCTTCAAAGAAAGCTCACATGCCAAGTGTGGTAATATATTCAAGCCTTCTTGCAGTCGTGATTTGATTTCCAAAACAATTTTGTATTTCATTCTCAAAATGGCGTGGTTGAATGGTTCTGTTCTACTTGCACAACAACCTTCTTGTTTTTTTTCCTATATATCCTCATTTTTTGAGTTTCAGCAAGAAAAATCAGAACGCGAAGGTATAACTGAAGAAGAGTTGCCCTCTAACAACTATAACCTTCGATAACATCTATATCATGTGTTCAAAGAAAGGAGAAGGGTGAAGGTAAAAAAAGGGTTCTAGTTTCGAAAGTGGATTTTAATTTTCATATTTTGTTCCTTTTGATCCTTTTTGTTTTCAAATTGGGTTGATTTTATCAAACAAACATACGACTCAATTAGAAGCTGAATTATCATCATTTGCGTGTTTGTTTCAGGTGCTATAGCGATGGCCGAGTACATTGCGGAGTCGACTTCTATCGTCCGCGTGGACATTAGAAACAACAATGTGAAGGTGGCCGGCATCATGGCCTTACAGAATGCACTGAAAAATAACTACACACTCACTAGACTAGATTTAGACCAGCAGCCCAAAAAGGAACAGGTAACAAGTTAGATATGAATATATTTTCAATTTGATTCATTTATTTTCAATTTGATACAAATTTATTTTCAATTTGTAAAGTAAAGAATTGTCATAGTCGATTGTTCATGAAGGACACATTAAAAGGATGATACATAACTACGATAAGACTCTTCATTTTCAAGGAAAGATACCAATACACGAAATTTTAGGATTATTAGGGTGATCTATTTAATTCTCACTTATGCCATAAACTTTAAACTGGAAGCTTGAACTCAGTTATCTTAAATCGGGTTGACCTTAGACAAAATGCGATGAGCAGACAAAATATGATGAGCACTCAGTTTGCTCAGAATTTGAACACTATTAATTTGGTGGGATTAATTTTCGAAATTCAGACCTAAATTTACACCCCAGAAAGGGTCAGTTTGACTCCTTTCCGTCAATCAAAAGTTTCGTCGAAACTACCGGGTCATTTAATGAGCGACTTATATCAGTGAGCTTCTTATGCAACCCAACAAACTTTAAAAAAGATATAAATTTCAAGAAATTGTCTCAATAAAAAACTTGTTTGATAGCAAAAAAAATCATTTTACTGTATAAAACATGATTTTTTTTCAGAACAATTTTTGATAGTTTTGTGCAAATGTTTACACTAGCAAGCTTGCGAGCCTTAGTGTCTTAATATTTACTTTCTTTTTCAAACCTAGCTCGTAAATAAAAGTACTCATCATTTGGTGGCAAAGTGTTCATTATTTGGTGGCACTTTTGCTATAATCACGATTATTATAATCTGATTTATTAGAGGCTAGTGTTTGTGATTAATTAAGCGCCCGTGGCTGAGTGGTTAGTGCATCAGACTCATTTTCTCTAGGTTATCGCAGATCCAATACGAGACCTGGCCGAATTTTTATTAATTCGTGGCTTATTTCTTCTTTTTCTTTTTGTACTTAATAGAGCTGATTTTTTGTCGTGCTTTCGCTAGTGTTTGCGAAGCGCATCGCTTCTGTGTTAATGATTATATTCGTAATAATTTTTGGTGGGCGAAAAATATGCTCACTAGTTTAATCTTCTCAACAATTAACCCTTAAGTTTCAGAGTTAAAATAACTTTTCTGGGGTGAAATTTAAAGTCATCGCAAATTATCGGACAACGAAAAAGTAAAGGTCACGAAAAACTTGATCGACTTCTAGTTTCTGGTGTGGAATTTAATTATTAGATTTCCCAGCGAAATAAATTTTTTTTTAAGCATTGATCCAGTTTTCTCAAATTGTTTTTTTTTAATCAAAAAAGTCCATCGTAAATTGTTCTAGCAATACACGGAAAATTTTTTTTCGTCATATTCGAAAGTTATAGATCTTATTTTTTTGTTTACTTGCGCTAATTGTCTCTTATCCAACTGTCTTTTGGCTATGTATCAGCACTGTGTGTTTGGGTGGTTTGAATTTTGATTTATTTTTCAGATTACGTCAAATACATTTGCTAAATGGAAGGCAAATTACATTCAATTACGGAAGAGCAAATGGCGCGATAAAAAAGTGGATTTTAATTTTTAGATTTCATCTCGGAATAAAAATTGCCTTCGTGATCCAGCATTCTCATATTGAGTTAACTTTAAATGACAAAAGTGTCAATCAAAAAAAATTATTGGAACTCAAATGGCTTCAGCTTAAAGTATTTTCGCCGAAATTTGAAAATGGAAAAGTATGTCGCTTTCTGTTACTCATTGACACTTTTTGAACTGTCTGCGGGCTTTATTTCTACTTGACTAAATTGAAATTTCAACTGTCTGATCCTGAATGCTATGTTTGGATACTTTCTAAATTCAAATGAACGAAGCGAGTTTTATATTATTTACAACGTGTTTTTTTCAGGAAAAATTTCAATTTGGGCATTTGTATTTTGGGCATTTGACTTAAGATTTGAGTTTTTGCATTGAGATTTTAACGAATTTATTTTTTTACATATTAAAATTCGCAGTATTTCCGTTTTTCTATGCAGACTTCAAATCATTCCATAGTCAGGCATGCTAATTTCTCCAACCTATCTATCCCCAACTAGACGCAATTTATAAGAAATGATACTTGAAACCAGTTGGAAATTTGATCAAACTGCTTGACAGAAACTTCGTCGCCTCGGAAAACGCTTACGTACGTATGTCTGTTTCAGCTTTACGGCTACACTGAACTATACGGAAAGAGCCTTGAACAGATTCTTTTTCTTCTTGAGAGGAATCAAACTCTATCGTCTGAAGAAGACACGAGAAGATATGTGCTTCAGCAGCAAATGCTGACTTACACCAAAGGTTTTTTGTTTTTGCTTATTTTAAAAAAGTTAAGTGTTCAATGCCAGTTGAATCCATTTTTTTCGGTTTTAGACGCAATTTTTTTTGGTTTTAGTTACAAAGAGGTATGCGAAGCGCGACTTGAGATGGTGAGCTACATTAGAAGTATAATTTTAACTAGGTTCAATATTCATTTCAGGCCTCGCCAGCTCCAAGGCCAAAAACAACCAAATCATTCCTTCTACGCCTCAAACAAACCAAATTAGCCTCGGCCAAACGACTTTGTCATCATCACGAACATCTATGATATCTCAAAATAAAGTTAGTATCGAGTTAGTGTTAGAATAAAAGTCTGCTGAACAAAATTAGACTGAAGCTAATTGCAGTCAATTTTTCCCCTGTTGGTAATTTTCAGCAAAAAGGCGCTAGGAGTTTTGTCATTTTGGTCTCGCTATTTGTTTTAATCGTGACGTCTGGTAAAGTTCTTCCAATCAATTATTCCCAAAACGAGGATTTCTTGAAAGGATGCAAAAAGTTGGCTAACAGTACAAATAATCAGAAATTGTCTGATTTGTTTTTTGTTACTAGTTCAGCTTAGTTACTCTCATTAAACCATTGCAGCATCACGTGATGAATGGGGTGGCAATGGACGGAGGGGGAGGGGGAGGGGGAGAATTGAGAGAGCAGAGGATTCGACAGTTTTCAGAAACACTGACGATACAACCGCCAAGTTCAAAGGTATCTTCATTATACATTGAAGATGCTCGTTCTTCAAATGTTTATTAGTTACCTTTTTAATTTCTTTTGCGTATTCAGTCAAAACTAGAATGAACATTTTCGGTTTCTCTAGCTGGTGACAGAAATTGTCGCAATACTTTATAGTGCTTAGGAAAGTCAATCGATATTCTGAATAATCTTGGGCAAGACAATTACTTCAGGATCAGAAATGGGGTTGGCTTCTGATCTTTTGTTGAAATTCTCTTTTTTTTTCGTTGTCGAAAATTATTTCGAATTTTATTGTAAAACTTTTAGTTTTTCTCTGAAAGTCCGAATGATTTTCAAAAAAGAGTATCAATTGAAAAACTGCCTACTCCCTTGTGAGCCTGCAGACTCCTCTAGAGTCTTTTTACGTGACCCCTCTGTCTACATTCTTCGAAACAGTCTGTGGGGGAATATTTGACCCATATTTTTGTTGGTTTTTTCTCCAAAACTACCCCTCAAATCTTCTGACACCAAAAGTTATGACCCTCGGAAATTTTAATCTTTTGAAAGTTTTTCTCGAAAATTACCCTCCCAAATCTGACATTTTGGGTTCAATGGAAAGTACAGAATGCGTGATTGCCTTCGGCATAAGCGGCCACGCCGTTATTTTTCACACAAAAAGCTATGATTCTCGGAAATGTCAAATTTTGATTTTTTGACCGTTTTTCGGAATTTTCTCGCTAGCCATCCTGACAAATCTGATATCATAGGTTTAACCGAAACCACAGGTTGTTTGAAGCCTCCCTTTAAAACTGGCTATGCCCAGTTTGCCTAAGTAAAAGATTATGGCCTTCAAATAAGTCGAAGTTTTGAAACTGACAGTTTTTTTTGCAAACTTTTTCACTTTACTCGAAAACTACAGTGCCAATTCTCATGTTGTGTTCAATCGAGAAACCCGGTTTTGGGAATCTTTTCTGCTTGTGCGGCCACTACTTGTTCTTTGCAAAAAAAACGTAATGGGTTTTTAAACCGTTTTTTAGAACTTCTGACGGTGTTTTAGATTTTTTTTTGAATTCTTAAAATTTATGCAATCAAATCTGAGATGAAAGATTCAATTGAAAAAAACCGGTTGTGATAATTGCTCTTGCTGAAGCGGCGACTCCTTGATATTTCGCAAGAAAAATATTTTTTCTTTCGGAAAATCGATTATCTCAAAATTTTATTTTCTTGCTCATTTTAGTAGGGAACTAACTAAGATTTTGGGCTAATTCCAATTTTGGAAATCACATTTTTCGTGCCGCATCAGTATTGCAAATTCACTCAATATCAAATTAGCTTTAGCTGGTCCCTAGTTGTTTTTTCATCGAGAGATTAATTTTGGTTCACCTAATTTTTTTCAACATTTAAAAGTTTTCTTTTCGACCCATGTTTTCTTATGTTTGTATTGTATTGCAAATGGCACGAAGCTCAGCGTCGCCTCTGTGTTTCGACTTTGTTACTTCTCTTTATCGAGCTGCTTTTTTGTCGTTTTCTCGCTAGTGTTTATTGGGTCTACAACTACTAATGGTTTGGTTATTCGTCTACTAGTTGAAAACCGATCTCTTGAAATTAGGTCAGATCCTAAGTTCAAAAAAGCTAATCGAATTGAAAAAAGATAATCAAATTGTTCCCACACCTCGCCGAAATGAGAAGCAGACGATGGATTTATTCGCCATTCAATTGACTTTGAATGGTTGAACAAGTTCAAATTTTTTAAAATCTAACAGCTGCTTTGGTTGATTAGTTATTAAGGGGCTTAGTGCTTATTCCTGAAAGCGGCGGCACAAGGAAGAAAGGATTCAATTGTTTATTCATTTTTCCTGAAATCCAGTTTTTAGTAACTTTGCTGCAGATAGTTTCGCATGAATTCTGTGCCAAGTTGCATGCATTTTTTACGCACATGCTTCATCATAAGCAGAGTTGGTGCTCTTGAGCGTTGAAAGTAGGACACTTCAATGCATCTGGCATTTTTGAATATCATAATCGATCTTTTAGTCGAGCACGAACAAAGTTTCTTCCATCCATTAACGGCGATAAAGTTAGGTAAGGCTACGGTTTTCTGGAAGAAAGTCTTTGATTTGGTCAGCACGAGCCATTGTGCAAAGTTAACGAAACCTGTTAAAAACCGGGACGCATGATTTGATGTTTTTTCCATGCAAGTTGTTGACTCAAGCAAAGCTTGTGTTATAGTATGAACTCTCTTTTTCCCAACCTAAGTCGTAAATATTGTTGCGACGCAAATATTGTTGCGACAAAATGTGTTAATTTTGAAAGTTCATTTTGATCAATAACCAGTTATTAAGGACAACCAATAATACTAATAATAATAATAATATGAATTTAGCGTACGCAAGGGGTTTCCCCCACAGTTTCAGTTAAGTTAGTTAGACATATTTCTGCAGTTGTTTCGGGTACAGTTGCACAGAATTTTCCAGCTACAGGGGTTGGAGTCATCGAATCTTTTCTCGAAATGCTCCCACATCCATTGCAGCAACCGTCCTTTGAGTCCTATCGTGTTGGTAAAGTCCACTTTTTGAGGAACCAAATTAGCCAGCCTCTTTGCATGAAACCAGAAATTTTTTTCACAAACAAATTTTGCAGGGCGTGTACATTCAAATAAACGAGATCTTGTATTAGCTAGGTCATTTTTTGGCGGAAAACGGTCAGAAAAATTGAAGTCGTAGTGATTATTGAGGTTTTTAGATAGTAGAAGTAAATTATTGAGCTGAATGTACATGGGTAAAGGCAGTATTCCTAGACGCTGAAGCGACGTTTTGTAATTAAGATCTGTTGCAATCCATTTGCATGCATTGCGTTGAACACCTTCTAAGAGTTTCATTTCTTCGACGTTCAATTGATAGCACGCTGAGCCGTATAGCAAAACTGGAATTACCCTGGATTTGAACAGATTAAGTTTGGTCTTGGTATTAAGAGGCAGTGGGTTGCGCTTCAGCATGCATAGAGTGCTGAGGGCTTTTCCTCTTCTAAGTTAAATATGAGATGTCCAGCCTAGATCCGATTTTACAATTATTCCTAGGTCTTTTTCCTCTGAGACTTTCTTAATTAAAATTGATTTGAAGCAAAAGTCGCTGCTTGTGGCACGTTTAACCGGTAGGTGAGTGCATTTTGACGCATTGAACGCAATCTGGTTTTGTTGAGTCCACGTGAAGATGTTATTTAGGTCTTTCTGAAAATCTGCGTGAAGTGTACCAGTTCGTAAGAACTTTGCGTCGTCTGCGTATAGAAAGCTGGTGGAATGTTTACATACACTTGGTAGGTCGTTAATCATGACAAGAAAAAACAATGGCCCGAGGATTGATCCTTGAGGAACACCGCTTGTGACATAGAATGATTGGGACAGACAGTCTTTGATTTTGACACATTGTGTTCTATTTGTCAGGTAGTTATAAATTAGTTTTAAAATTTTGCCTCTGATTCCCAGCGAGTAGATCTTATCAATCAGAATACCGTGATCTACTTTGTCAAAAGCTTTCTCGAAATCGGTATATATTACGTCTACTTCTTCATTTTTGCTTATAGCTGAATATATGGTATCAAGATAGAGCAGCATTTGGATGATCCCTGACCTTTTCGCGCGAGTTCTGAATTGGTTATTGGATATTAACACAGACTATTATATTACAAATAGCACTTTAGCCTCAAGGTTCATGGATCTGTAGCGTAGAGTTAGGGAAGGAGACCCGCAACAAAATAAGAACTTTTTCGTATACTAGGTAACATGTGTCTGCTCTAAAAATTGAGGCATGTTTATTGGTAACGTTTTTCTATTTTCAAGTTGGCTGGTACTATTAATGCGTCATAATTGGCTTGCGTCACTTAGCAATTATGTAGACTCCTAGTTGGCGTCACTCAAGAAATTTTGTAGAATTAAAGTTTTAACTCATCCAGTTTTTCCCAGAAGCGTTATTGGTCATATTTTAGCTTGTGTATGCGAAGTGCAACTTCGCCTCTGTGTAGATTGTTGTAATGGTCTATGCTTGATTAATATTGAACGCAATGATTTTTTTTGTGTTTGTTATTTATGAATACATTTAACTTTTGCTCACACTTATGTTCACAAAATCGTTGTTTTCTGTTTCAAAGTCACTTTTTAAATTCAATTCTATATCAGAAGGGCAAATTGCTCAAAAAGTGTTTGTCAATGAGCGAAGTGAAGACATATTGTCGTGTTGTTCGCACTCAAATTTGATTTTTCGCTGCTTGGCTTCTGATTGTTCAATTTCAAGATCATTTGGTAAAGTGAAGGAAATTTTGCCAATTGCGAAAAAGGTAATCTAAAAAATGGGATTGGCTCTCAGTTTCGACAGTGGAATTTGGTTTTTACACTTGCGAGGGCAAGTGTTGGGTAATCGGCTAATCTTTTTTTTCCAGTAAACAACTTTTCTTACACATTTGTAATTGAAATTGATGTTTATTTATCATCGATTCTTGGCAACTTCCTAGCTCATTTTCGCGTGGTCTGGAGGTAATCCTGTTGCCGTTGCGCCCTTTGGTCTAAGTTTTGAGTCCCGGCCAGACCTTGTTTGTTCTACAGTGTCTGAAATTGAACTTTTTTCTTGGAAAAATTGAATAGTAGGACTATAGTTTATCAGCGTATGTTTTGTCGGCTTAGTTGTAACACCACTTATTTAGTGAATATTGAGGTTCAAAAAAAATCGTCGGCCAATTGTTTGTCTGCTGATCTGTTGTCGGCTTAGTTGTCACATCTTGAATAGTTTTTTTTTCTTCTTGCATTTTTTAAATGTTGGTTTTAGTATTTGATTTACGCCTACATTTTGTAATTTTACTTATCTTGACTTTTATTTCCTTTATTTTTTTTGTTTCGCTGAAAAGTCCTCTGCCCAAATCATTTCAGCCTATTTTTTCATCTGCTTAATGACCTAACTTTGGGACGTTTCAAAATTAACACAATTTTAGCCTTTTCTCCGAACTTTGCAAGGTGATAGTTTGTTTACCAGTCTGCTTGTTGAAATTTC